CAAACAAGGTCTCACTATGTTGCCCTGATCAGCCTTGAGCTCATGATCTTCCCGCCTCAGCCTCTTGAGTAGTTGGGACCACAGACACACTACCACACCGAACTTCCAGGCCAGACTAGGAACTGAATCTGGGCCTTGCATGTGATCCCAGAATGGGAGCACAATATCTTAGCATATGTCATACCAGTTGGGCCTTCTTGACTAAAAAACAAAACAAAACAAAAAACAACAAACTTATATAAAATTATCCCAGATCTGAATGGGGTATTTTTCTCAGGGGTTACAATTCAAAATAGTAATCATAACTGGAGATTCTTAGGATCCTCTTAAAGGGATCAGTGTTTACAACCAAGATTTTGTAGATTAGCCTTCGTCTTGTAAACACCTCCAAAGAGTTGTTTTGTGTCTTACACAAACATTGGTGAAGACAGAGGACATCACTGATGTACACTGATGTTCAGTTAGTTGGAAAACTTCAGTCCCTTCAGTTGAAAAAACACCTGATGATGGAAGTGAATAATGATATGAGTGATTAAGTTTTTCTGAGACATACAAGTCGACTTGCTTTCTGAATCATTATCAGGGCTCATCAGCTGGAAAAAAGAAAAGCACACGGCATGCACAGCAGAACCACTGGTAATCTTGGTAATTAAAGAAATAAAAATCAAAGATTTTCTTTTTGGTGAAATGCAAAAAGAACATGTTATTGTGTGTGTGTGTGTGTGTGTGTGTGTGTGTGTGTGTTAAGCATAAATTATGAAATGTTCATTGAAGTACAGGCCAATAGTCTCTTGGAGGGACCATATATTTTGGTGGTGTTGGTCAAAGCCAGGTGGTGAAAATCAGGCTTTCTCAGGAAAATTGCAGAGGTTCGTGGGGAGGGCCTGGCATGACTTGAAAATGCTTCCCAGGGGACTCTCATGTTTAACTATGCAGTCCACCATTTTCTGGGGACAAACACCCTAAGAATGTCCCCACTTTCTGGGGACAAACATTCTAAGGGTGCTCTTTAGCCAAGAGAGTATTAAATAGACTAGAGAAAGAATAATAAAACCATCTATAATATTTCAAAATGGAGTAGAGGTTGTTTGCAAGACCTCTGAAATTGTACTAAGCTATTACATCTTTTGTTTTTCTATTAAGGTTTTTGTCATAGAGCATGTGCACTTGCCAGAAACTGTGAGAGGAGAAAGTAGGAAATCATCCCCAGGGAGAATGGCCATACCACAATCCTTTCTCCTCCATTCTCCTCCTGGGATTCGGGGCACTCATGCACATGTGCCCAGTGTGAGTTTCAAGCTGCCAGGTGTGGGACTTGAACTATGTGGGAGTCATGTGGGAGTCTAGCACCTTAACCATCATGCCACCTACCGGCCCAAGATATTACATCTTTTAAAGTTACTTCTTACCTACAAAGTAGTACTTTAAACTATAAGTGTTTCCTTGAAATCCTAAAAAAAAAAAAAAAAAAAAAAAAAAAAAAAAAAAAAGCCCTCCTCTCCTCTGGCTATACCAAGGAAGAGGCAGGTGAGACGGAAAACGGAGGCTCCAAACGGTAAGGCATGGAATTGTGCCATAGGGTGAGAAAGTTTTGCACCCTAGAATCAAGAGCACTAGAATTGGAGATTTTTGGAATTCCATAGTCATAGGCAAGCTAATCTCCTAGGGATTATCACGAAAGGGTTAATAACATGCAAGAGATTTTACCAGACATTGTAAGGAATACCTGACACTTGTGAGAAAAGCATGAAGAAAAATTTCAGTACAAATCCCATTAAATTGGCTATTGCTCTGAAACAATTACTTACAAAAAACCCCAAGAGGGAACAAAACAATGCGCAGTGGTCAATTCAACATCTAAGCCAGCGTCATCTGACCTGTGCCATATGCTTTAGGTATAAGCAACACAAACAGAAGTTACTTGCTAAGGCTTGTTTCAAAGAGTCTTGACATATTCTTAAAGATATCTCCAAAGGACAAGGACCAACTTGGAGCTTGTGACAGGTGGAGGTATTTAAGATAAAGGGAAAAAGGTACAGGCAAGGAGTCCCTAGGGACTGTAGTAATCTGGGTAAGAATCCAGGAATAAGTGTTCCCATCGTCTAGGAAAGGAAGGAAAGGGACAGAGTTGGGATTTGGAAGGCAGTTTGAAAAGAAACAATTGCTGGGTTTGTCAGAAGATTAAGTGGAAAGGCAATACTACGTATTGGACACAGGGCCACAGTGAGCTTTCCATAATCACATTTAATCCTCCCAATAACCTTGCAAAAATACATATTTATACATATTTTACTAAACAGAAGATGAGAATTCGAAATTGGGCCTGTCCATAGTCAAACAACAGTTAGGTAAATGGCACAGTCAGCATTCAAACCAAGAACTAATGAATCACAAATTATTTTTGGTGGTGTTCCTGTGATCCTGTGGCACTCAGATGACAGGAAGCACAGGGCAGGACTAGGAAAGGAAGATGAACAATTCTGTCTTTTCTAATTACATTGGTAAAAGAGAAATTCGGTTTGTGATGTGTCATTTGGGGGGAGGGGTAGGTTTAATTAGATTATTTTATAAAAACCATCTGCTCACCATGTAGCACTTCTAATCGAAACAAAAAGGGAGACAATATATAATTTTTTGTTTCCTACTAGCTACATTTAAAAAGTAAAAAGAAACAAATAAACTTTTAATAGTGTAGTTTATTTAACTTAACATATCATTCCAACATAAAAACAGCATGAAAAATATTTAGATATTTTACATTTTTTCCCTCTGATACTATTTAAAATTCAGTGTAAATTTCACACCTAGAGGACATCTTAATCAGGACTGGCTAGGGTTAAAGTGCTCAGTAGCTACAAGTGGTTGCTGACTAACACAGGAGACAGTGCCGGTACAGAGAGCCATGACACCTGTGACATTCGATGCATGTGTCGGGATGAGGATAATAAGGGATTCTTCTTGTGGTACAAGGGGAGAAAACTTTTGACAGATGGGAAAAATGGAAAGTTCTCTGTTGAATTAATAAATATTACAAAAATGTTTTTAAAAAGAAAGCTTTCTTTTATAAGCAGGCACGACATCACACTTATGGAGTAGCATCTATGTTCCTAGAATAGTACCATGCATTTTTGTCTTTAAGTGTATCTTATCATTTCTCCCTTCATTTTGCAAATAGAACTAGAAAACCTTTATTTAACAACTTAGGGAAAATAACCAAGAGGGTTCTTAGAAATACCTATTATGTTAAGGGACTGAGGAAGAATCTCCAATGAGACACTACTGAAAATGGGAAATGATTTGAGATCCAGAAGCTAAAGAAATGGAGCTCTAATTCCCAATCTGCTACCAGCAGGCCAAGTAACATCAGGGAGCTCCACTAAGGCCCAAATCCCAGGAGATCATTAGTCAGTGGAAAGAGGCCCACGCCATTGCAATAAACACTAGAAGGAAATCTACGGCTTAAGTCCTAGACAAACTTTTTTTTTTTTAAAGGTTTTTGTCATAGGATATGTGCACTCACCAGAAAGAGAAACAGACAATGAAAGCAAAAATGAGAAATCACCCCCCCACACACCCCCAGAAATCATTCCCCCAGGGAGGATGGCCATGCTACAATCCCTTCTCTGCCATTCTCCTCTTGGGGTTTTGGGCATGCATGCATATGGGCCTGGTGTGATTTTTCAAGCTGTCAGGTCCAGGACTTGAACCACCGTAGGACATGTGGGAATTCAGTGCCTTAAGCACCATACCACCTGCTGGCCCCAGAACAATGGTATTATGAACTTCCCTACTGTACCAGAGTTTAAAAAAGCAAACTGAAGCAAAACTAGTTAATTTTGCTGCAGTTGAAGAGTGTTTTGTTTTTAGTTTGCTATAGGGCATGTGTGTTTACCAAAGAGAGACACTGAGAGAGAGAGAGAGAGAGAGAGAGAGAGAACGAGAAAGCACTTCCTAGGGTAATGGCCACGTTGCAATCCCTTCTCCTCCATTCTCCTCTTGGGGTTTTGGGCATGTACATATATGCACTCAACCTGCACAGTTAGCCTCATGGTCTCCAGTGCCTTAACCACCACACCACCAGTTGGCCTGTATCTGTCACATTTTAAGACTTAAAAAAAATACAAATGGTGCCCTTTTCAAGCTCAAGCATTGTTTCCATTTTCTCTGAGCAGAAATAAGCAGATAAATGCCCTTTTCCCTGACATTAGTCCACATGAGCTCATGCCTCCTCTCCTACCCTATTGTCTAGTTGGGGAAGATAAATCTCCTCAGAAGATCTGGGCATAGCCTCCAAATCTGGGGCAGAGCTAGGAGTTGTCTCAAGGTGCAAAGGAAATGACTTCTTTGGACCTTTTAAACTGGTTAATAGGGGTATGGGAGGGGCTGGCTATAAATAAAAATGTATACTGCCTATTTGTAACCTACTCCCCTCTTCATACAATTTATATATTCACTCATCTGCCTTGAGCTGTCTCATAAGTTCCATGCCTATCTCCCCCCTTTTTAAAAATAATCCTATCTTGGCTTTCTGGACTTTTGCATACTATTCTAAACATAATGTTTCACTGATAAGAGTCTCGTTTAGTATTATTTTTTTCTAGTTCACAAGCTGATGGACCAAGTGGTCCTCTATAAAGTTATGAGAACTTATAGGAAAGTGTATTTTAGGAGAAGACAGAAGGAAGGGAGGCAGGGAATCAACATCCTTTTGGTACTACATTGAGAATAATGAAGATCTTTGTAGAGACAGATATCATAATAGAACTCCATTCTCAGGCGACAGTTTCACATGTTTCGACAAAGCTGTGGGTCAAATCCTGACTTGCAGAAGATGCACAGCCATGTCCAAAACAGCCTCTGCAGCAGGGTGGCCCTCATGGTGCTTTCACATCCTAACTCCAGCCTTGGCAAGGCCACACTGCTATGCTGGTCAAAGGAAAAATAGTTAGGTCATCAAACACAAGCACTTCTGAGTGTGACTGTTGAGTTTTTCAGATTACCTTGATTCAGGGTATTTGGTGAGGGTAGCCAGGCTGCTGGTGTACATGTGGCCGCCCACATCAATGTGGACAGGCGCATTGGATTTTGTGAGTTGTGCTGGAGTAGGAATGCCTTGGTTGTTCAGTGGAGATGCAGGGGATCTAGTGATCAGAGGTCTTGACATATTGGGCCGACTGTCCTACAGAGAGATAAGCAAGTTTAGACATTCTTTCTCTTTTCAGTGGAAAGGAAATACATATATCATAAAGAATAAACCATGACTAGCATTGATAGGCACTTGGTAATAAAATCTGGAAACCAGCAAGTTCTTGCTTTTGTTATAATGACTATTACAACAACGCATCCTGTAACAAAGAAAAGGAAAAACTTCACACACTCGGAATTGAGGAGCGGAACGAAAATTCATTGCAAATAATTCTGACACCGACGAAGACTTATTATATTGTGAATCCTCACATTTAACAACTGGTAAATGGCACAAGGAGACATCCGACTCACTCCAAGTGAAAAGATAATCAACACTTAAAACTAAACACATCTAAATAAAATATGTGTGATTTACCCTTCTCTTTGAAAGCTTCCTCATTCTTATGCAGTTGAGTAAATATGGACCTTAGGCTGTTATGATCTACGAAATGCTTTCTTACATTTCTAGTTTCTGAATCAGGAAAAGGAGGGCATAACTGGTCTAGCCATCAGCACACATACTTACAGCAACCTTGCAAAGAGTCACCGCAAGTTTATCGGTCAACAGCGTAAGAAAAACAAACAGAAAAGGTCTGTATTCTACCTACCTACCCTATTCCCTACAAGACTGAGTCTGGGGAGGCTTTGAAAAGAATATACCCTCAAGTGATAAACATGTGCTTGTGAGCCATGAGCAGGCTGTTCTGAATGCCTGACTTCCTGAAGAAATCAAGTCCCCGAGGTGGAACTGAGACAGATGTTGATGCAGCAGTGTGCAGTCACACAAGCAAAGGTGTAACGTGAGCAAACCGATGAGAATGGGGTATCACATGGCAGCAAAAACACGTTTAAGAAAAGGCACTCTTGAGAGAATAAAATACTACCTCCTTTCCATGGATACAATATAAATATTTCAAACACTCTCCAAACATGGTTGATTGCTTTTAAAGTAGAGCCCAAATCACAGACAAGTAAAGTCAGGCCCTTGGAACTCAATAAAGAGGTCCCATACTTAGAGTGTATGAGGGAGGAATAAGCTCAAATGGTATGTACGTGTGAATTCTGGAAGACTAATGAATACTCTCAGATTTATAATTTAGCCAGATTGTTTTCAAACATGCAATGTGTGGCGAAGCCAGTGATAAGGCATATTAAAGGGATTTTGAAAAATGCCTTTGATGAAGATCACAAAGGGGAAGTCATCTCATTTTGCGCATAAAACACAGCATGATAAAATAAAAATTTGCAAAACATCATAGATTTTATGATCTGGAACAGCTTTAGGAGTTACCTGGGGCACAACTATTAGACTACTTAGCATTAACCACATGTCCAAGCAAGACTGCATATGCACATACTTTCTGAAACGCAATGCCTACCATGGATGAGGTAGTGATCGGGCCTTTACACAAAATGTTTACCATCTGTGTCGTGTTTGTCTACATGTGAATTAAACAGAGTCATACAAAAAAGGCTCATACCTTAGTTCTTAAATTGAATGGTGGGCTCAAGGATGTTCACTATGTTGTTCTTTATACATTCCTTCATCTTTTTAACAATGCAAGATAGATATTGAAAAACACAAAAGGTTTTTATAACATTAAAGAAAATTAATTAAAAGAGTATTGGGCCCAGCACAGTGGCCCATGCTACTAAGTCGCTGTGCTCCACAGGCTGGGACTGCACAGGAGGCCCAGATATGATTCCCAGACCAAGGGACTGCACGGGAGGCCCAGATATGATTCCCAGACCAATCTAAAGGCCAAGCACAGTGGCATGTGTCCCGGAGACTCGGGAGGCTGAGGCAAGATGATCCTGAGCTTGAGACTGGCCTGGGCAACACAGCAAGACCCTGTCTGGAAAGGAAAGGAAAGGAAAGGAAAGGAAAGGAAAGGAAAGGGGTATTGGGTAAGGGCGGTGGGGGGGTGAGGGGTGGGGGGGAAGAGACCTAAAAACCAAAAACGCAGTTAGTAGGAAATATAAAATGCTTAAGGCTCAGAAATAGTAAAAGTCACATTTTAAAATGTGGATGATAAAAAGTGATAAAAAATACATTTTTTTCTCTAAAATGCAATCATACAACCTCCACTTTTAAGAGATATATCCTATCTGACTTCCTTTGAGAAAATGATTTCCTGGCTATAGACATACACACACACACACACACACACACACACACACACACACCCTCTCACACCCTCTTCCCCGTGACGATTCAGCCATCATAGCACTGCAGAGTCTATAATAGTTTTTCAATTGGACACATTCTATATCCTGCCCGAGGGTGCTCAGGCGAAAATGAACAGATTTGCAGGGTTAATATTGTCGTTAGACTGTGACCTCATTCAGCACAGCTTTAACACTGCGAGGTCTATAGAGAAAGAGAAAAAAAATGAAAGCATAACTGATCCGTTGAAGGATTCCAGATTTCTCCGAATATATACTATTCACATTGTACGTCATAAATGTGTGGATATTGCTAAATTTAAAACTAAACCAGTGTTTTCTTCAGCTGGGGGTGTGGTAACCCTTAAGAGCAAGGATTAGAGCTGATCTTTGGTGAGCCCACTGGGCTCTTCTCCTAGGCTCTCTCCACAACCTTCCTGCTGTCCCTGTTCTGTATGTGTCCCCTCAGTTATGATCATGCCTCAGGCATTAACTGATAGAAGTAACACAGACAAGGTTTCCACTCGGCACGTTCTGCATTGGTACAGACCGAAAGAACTTTTGACAATCCACAGGCTGGAGTTGGGGGAGGCCAGTCAGAGCTGAGAGGTCTTGGTGCTCATAATGAAAACTGGAGCTGCCCATATCTATTCCATCACCTCTAGGAACTTCACCTAACATAATCAGAACAACCCTCTTCCTTGCTGGGGACTGGAGCTAACACGTTCTCATCTATATGTGGACAGTGAAGTCGTGGATGGAATGCTTGGACCCACAGCTAAGGATGCATCCTTACTGCTAAGGATGAAGCCAATGCCCAGAGTGGCACAGTTGGGAGCTGGCTCTCACTGACATTGTGCAGACCTGAAACAACCAGCTCCTAGCTCTAGAACTCCAGTGACAGAAAGAATTGTTTTTGTTTTCTTTAAATGATTGTTAAGGTTTATTTATTTCCTTTGAAAAAGTGGAGGTAGAGGGAACCAGCAGTTAGCGTAATGGCTATGTCGCTGGACTCCCACATAGTCGACCGTGGTTCGCGTCCCGGACCTGGTTGCTTAGAACTCACCCGCCGGGTGCGTGTGCGTGCGTGCCCAAGATCCCGGGAGGAGAATGGAGGAGAAGGGATTGCAGCGTGACCATCCCCCCTGGGGGAGGGGGGGATTTCTCGCTTTCTGCCTCTATGTCTCTCTCTGCCTGGCGAGCGCACGCGCCCTATAGTGACAACCTCTCAAAAAAAAAAAATAAAAGAAAAATAAAAGTGAAGGTAGAGAGAAAAATGAGAGAGAGAAGCAACTCGACTGGGCCTTCATACTGCAATCTTCCCCCAAGCCCTGCGGTCAGCCAGAACCATGGTGGACCACTGGCGGCTCCCGTGTTTTTATGGCAAACCTGGAACATGGACCCAGAGCCTTTCTATATGGTCTCCAGCATTGAACTGCAGTGCCCCCATTGCCTATGCCGCCATGGCTGGTTCTAAATTTTTTATTTTTAAAGCTGGTTTGAATCAGGATTTCTGTCACCAGTCTCTTCCTGCTACATGGCTGTCTCCTTGTGGGGTCACTTAGCTTGGTGAGATTCGGCCTGTGATGACCAGAACAGCTGCCCGCTGAGAGCAGCAGCAGAAGTTTCTATGCTTCTGCTCAACTTCCCCCCAACCCCATCTTTCTCTTTAAGCACTCTCCCACCCTCATCTTAGCTTGTAAGTGCCTTCTGCCATTACTTCTGAAGAAGGGAAACCATGAACTCTGACCACAAAGAGTGCAAAGGACCTGGATGTACCATTGCCGTGACTGAAGAAACAGCTCAGAGCTCGGCTGCACGTTCTGAACACTGGCCAGAAAGCTGTCTCTGCTAACTCGCACCTGGAACTGACTCCTCACCTAGGGGAAAGGAACCCTTCCCTAACAGCAAGCTCCTCAGTTAGTGCCCCTTCCTTGTGTAGGACTTCGTTTCTTCCTTCCGCTGTTTATGAACATCTCCTAAGTGTCGGGCACCATCCCAGTGGTGGAAGAACAGCAAACAAGACACACTGGTCCTTGGCCTCACCAGGCTTCTTGTTCAGATGGAGAGAGAGAAAGACCGCAAAACAACTCACCACAGTTGTACGCCACATAATGACATTTTGGTTCACAGCAGACAGCATAGATGATGGTGCTCCTGTAAGGTTATCATGGAGCTGGAAAATAGCTTCTACCTAGTGCTGTTGTGGCTGTCCTAAAGTCATGCATTTGTGGGAATGCGGGTGTAAACAAGCCTGTTGCACAGCCAGTTGTATGAAAGTATAGCACACACAATTATGTACGGTTCAGAATGCGTGATCAGGAGAATAAACGACTATGTATGTCACTGCGTGTGTATTTACTACGCTATACGTCTTGGCATTAGAAGTACCCTTCCTACTTATTAAAATAAGGTTTACTGTAAACAGCATGCTGCATTATGCCAGCACCAGTCTCAGACGTTACGTGTTTACCGTAACTTGTAACTGTGTGTGTTTTTTTTCTTGTGCTGGATTTAATCTTGTGTTGTTTAGCTCATCATGGCCCTTCTAGTGGGACAGGAAGTGGAGATGGAAGACAGTGATGTTGATGACCCTGGCCTGGGCAGGACTAGGCCAATGTTTTTGTTTTTAACAATGACCCAAAAAAAGTGCAAAAAAAATTTTTTTATAGAATTAGGATATAAAGAAAAAATATTTTTGTACAGCTGTATAGTATATTTGTGATTCACACTAAGTGTTATTACAAAAGTGAAAAAAATTTTTTTAAATGAGAAATTTACAAAGTAAAATAGTTACAGGATCAGCAGATGGCGAAGTGACTACAT